GCAGCAGCAGCAGCACGGCGGAGTTCTGCTGCAGGCGCTGCTGCCCACAGCAGAAGAGTCATGGGCAGCAGCAGCAGCGGTAACGGCATCATCATCAGCAGCAGCAGCAGCAGAATCAGTTTGCAATAAACTAGACTTGCTAATTAACATAACAAAAAACCCTCAAATAAGAATGGAGATCTGCAGCAGCAAAGCAACAGCCGCACAAATATCCCTGCTGCTGCATGAGCTAACCAGCAGCAGCAGCAGCAGCAGCAGTGGCAGCAGCAGCAGCAAGGAGAAGGAGCACCGAGGCCCTCTAAATTTAGCAGCAGCAGCAGTGCCGAAACTTTTGCTGCTGCTCTTCTCTCAAGGGCAACACCGGCTGCTGCTGCTGAACCAGCTTTTTGGGCTGCTGCTGAACTTGACCACCGATGCTGCTGCTGCTGCTGCTGCCAGTGAACCATCAGCAGCAGCAGCAGCTGCTGCAGAGTTTGTAAAGGGCTTGTGCCTCTCTGAGGTGGCAATCGTCGCTGCAGCTTCCGTTGCAGCAGCAGCAGCTGCTGCTGCTGCTGCAGCACAGTCTAATGGAGAGGAAGCAGCAGCAGCTGCAGCAGCGTCGCAGCTCCTATCGCGTTCTCTCTCCGTCTGTGCGCGCATTCTGCAGCATCAGCAGCAGCAGCAGCAGCAGGCAGCAGCAACAGATTTCACTACTGCTGTTGTGGTAGCGGAAGGTGCAGCAGCAGCAGTGCTGCGCGATGCTGCTGGCCGCGGCTGCTGGGGTGGAGGAGCAGCAGCAGCAATCCGGCTGCTGTCTGTGTCAGCGCAACGGCAGCAGCTGTTGGAGAGAGCAGCAGCAGCAGCAACAACAGCAGCAACGAAGCCAGGCGCGGCAGCAGCACCTCAGCTGCTGCTCACCGACCTGCTGCAGCTGCTGCAGCGACTGCTGCTGCTGCTTGTTTCAAAAGGGCGCAGCACCAGCTCAGCAGCAGCAGCAGCAGACCCAGCAGCAGCAGCAGATGTGTTTACCTCCCTTGGGAACGCCCTGGTGCTCCTGACCAGCATTTTGCGCATGCAACTAGCCCCCCAGCAGCAGCAGCAGCAGCAGCAGCGCGATGCTGTTGTGCCGCTGCTGCGAGCAGCAGCAGAAGCCCTGGACTTCGAGCAGCAGCAGCAAGTGCAGCGCAACGCAGCAATTTGCATCGCCACAGCAGTGCAGCACTATGAGGTGTACAGACAGCTCTTCTGGAAGCAGCCCCTCATCAGCAAAGTCATCTCTTCCGCAAAATATGCCATCGGCCCCAGGTAGCAACAGACTTAGCTAGCTAGCTAGCTAGCTAGCCAGCCAGCTAGCCAGCTAGCTAGCTAGCTAGCTAGCTGGGGAGGCCGGCAAGGGATGGCTAGCCAGCTGTCTGTAGCGCCATTTGCTGCGCTGCAGGGAGGCTAGGAAGCGCCCAGCTGGCTACTAAAGGTGGCTGGCTTGGCTAGCCAGCTAGCCACCTTGAGTAGCTAGCTTGGCTAGCCAGGTAGCCACCTTGAGAGGCTAGCTGGGGAAGCCTTTGTGGCTGGCTAGCTGGGCCTGCTGACTAGCTTTGCTGGGCTAGCTGGCGCTGAGCTAGCTGAGGTTCTCTGGCACAGCCACTGAACGAAATTTGGCCCTTCCACCTTGCGAAATATTTGGTTTTAATTTTGTTTTTATAAATATTATAATTAAAATAGATTCAGCGTCTTTTTAATTTAATATTTATTCAGATTTGCCGCTCGATTCCCCTGTCTCGACGGACCACCACAGCAGCCACAGCTCAGGTGTATGCGCAGCTCCTGCGGCGGCTGTCCTCGCGACAAAGCTGTTAATTGCGGCAAATTTGAATTAAAAATGAAAACAATTATTTAAAATAATTATTTTAATTATTAAAAGAAGGATTTAAGTATTTGCCCGAAGGGAAAGAAAGAAGGAAACAAAGGGCTGCTCGCGAGGCGCATGCGCCACGCAGTGCTGGGGCTTGAAGGGGCGTGTTTGTCTTTTGTTTGTCTTAGCGAGTTGGACTTAGACTTTAGAAAAAGGAAATTAAAAACAAAATACCATTTGAAGGAGCATTCCGTTCATAGATCTGCACGCGCGGAAGCTGCACAGCAAATCCGAACCGCGCAGGAGAGCCGCTGGGTTGCTGCTGCTGTCTGGGGTGTACAGGCAGCTCCGTCGCTGCACAAGTTGCTGCTGCTTCTGCCCCTGCAGCTCGCGGTCCCCTTTGCTGCTGCTGCTGCGCAATGGCTTCCGCTGCTGGGCGCTGCTGGGACTTCACCTTCTGTGGGGCCCCCGGGGGCCCCCCGGAGTCCGTTGAGAATCCCCCGGGTTTTGAATTTGCTGCCGAGGGTTTGGAGAAGGAGACGGAGTTCCTGGGAGCTCTACGACAGCAGCAGCAGCAGCAGCAGCAGCAGGTTGCTGCGTGTCCGGGCGGCTCTCCGCGGGCGGCTTCGGCGGGGAGCCCGGGCGCAGCAGCAGCAGCGGCCCCCCCCGCAGCAGCAGCAGCAGCAGCAGCGCCGCCGCTGTCGGAGGAAGCCGTGGCGCTGCTGCAGCGGAAAGTGTGGGAAAGCGCCGTGGCCCCTGCAAAGGCCCTTTCGATGAATCTTCTGATGCTTTACATGGGCGGGGGCAGCGGCATTTTCGGGGTTTTGATTGCGGTGTACGCGCTGCACTCGGGTGTACGTACACTGCTCCAGCTGTCTGTACACTTCAAACCCTTCGCAGACACCCCACAGCTGCGCTTCGTCGCGCTCGCCAGGTGTACGTACACCGCAATTTGCCTGCTCTTCTGTCTCTACGTCGTTTACCACGCCCACGGCATGGGCGCTTTGCCCCTCAGTTCGGGGGACTACTTGGGACTTATTCCCCAAACTGTCGTCACTTCCAGGGCTTTTCCAGCCACAAACCCTAAACCCTAAACCCTAAACCCTAGTCGCCAAACCCGAAACCCTCGGCCTGCGCTTGGAAGAGGCCCTGGGTCGCCTTCTGGGCCTTCTTCGAAAAAAAACCCTAAACCCTAAACCCTAAACCCTACGCCCTACCGGTAAGTTCGGGGGACTACTTGGGACTTACTCCCCAAACTAATGTCACTTCTAGGGCTAAACCCTAAACCCTAAACCCTCGAGAGGCTCTCGGAGAAGATCCAGGGGCACCTCCAGGATTTTTTCTGAAGCAAACCCTAAACCCTAAACCCGAAGCTCTCGACAAGACTCAAAGCTCGGGAGCGCTCGGGGCTGGAGCCGAGGGTTTAGGGTTTAGGGTTAGGGTTTAGTGCTGGGGTGCGGAGTCTAGGGTTTGCAGAGCTTTTGATTTAAGGGTTTAAAGAGACAGCTAACGTTTGCTGCTCCCCTCTGCTCAAGCCCTAAACCCTAAACCCTCGTGGGGGCCCCACAGCTGCAAACAACCCCGTGGCTTCTTTTTTTTAATTTCCAAACCCTGGTCCCAACCACATATGCATGCGGTACCTATTGCTGCAGCAGCAGCAGCAGCAGCTGCTGCTGCTGCTGCTGCTGCTAAAGTGTAACAGTGTTTTCTCTGCCCTGTTCAGCTTTTTTGATTTGTCTCCTTATTGGGCTCTTCCGAAGGCTTTTTGATATTAAGGGTTTAGGGTTTAGGGTTTAGGGTTTAGGGTTTGCGCGTGTGCGCGCACCGCCAAAGTATTTGCGGCAAAAAGTGAAAAAATCGAAATGGAGGTTTAGAGCAGCCGAGGGTTTGGAGTCTAGGGTTTAGAAAGCCTCAGAGCTGTGCGTCAATCCTCTAGGGTTTAGGGTTTAGGGTTTAGGGTTTTGCTGTAGGTTTCTCAAGACCCAGGGGTGCTGCAGGACTTCACACGCGGCAATGCGGTCTTCGGGGTCTTGGGCGCACATCTGAGCAGCACCAGCAACCTAAACCCTAAACCCTAAACCCTAAACCC